CCCCCCCCCCCCCCACCCCTCACCCCACGTTACTTTCGTTCGAGCTGGCTCTCAGATTGTTTTGAAGCTCAAGGCGTTTTTGATTGCGGGTAAAGAAAGTGTGGGACTTCATGGACATGTCGCATGCCGACTGTCATTGCCGGGGCAGGCGTTCATCCCTCACATGGCTGCGAGGCGACCTCTGTTGATCTGCGTAGGCAGAGGTTTGCATTCTCTTCACGTGATGGGTTTCTTTCCCCTGTCAGGGATGAATCGGAGTAAACATCCTCGAAGGTACAACTTCAAGTACGACTTCGTCACATACAAGTGGCCTTCGTGGCTCAACCCACAGAGCATGCCGCCCAGCAAAGGCTGTCAGATAGCACTTGCAGCATTCGATGCCCCTCCCCGAAATGGGACTGTCTGAGAATCTCCCGTGGTGCCGAGGCGAGAAGCAGCGGCTGATATGGGCATACAAGATCCTATTCTTGGATGTGGGGCTCCGAGCTTGCATTGCCAGAGCTTGCGTTGCATTGCATCGCCAAAGCACGGGGCTCTTCCAGCCGATTCCACAAGTGCCGAGGTGCTCTTCCCGCAGGACGTGCCGAAGATCATCTTCATCGATGCTGACCAGGCCGGAGGATGCGCACTCCGTTTCAAGAGACGAACGTGGCCAACCCCGAGACCCTTAAAGAGCACAGCCTCTAGGTTGACAGGTGCAGGGACGGTAGCAGATCCAAACCTCACAGGCCCTCAGCCAGTCTGAAGTCCCGTGGCAGCGCCCTTGGCCCTGCTGAGGTGGTGCGGGCTGATGTGAAGGAGCTGTGGGACCTGGACCTTAAGGCAAGCTCCGTGGGTGTGGGGTGTGGAGCTGAGGGTCATGATTCAGCGTTTCGGGGCTTACGCCGATGCAGCGGTCGCGGTAGATTAGTAGATGTAGTAGCAAGTAGCCAAAACTGGTCAGACTGGCAGCGAGGAGGGCAATTACAGACATGAACCGTTGTCCGGGACCGATGATGACAATGAAGAAACACATGACGGTGCTGACACACTGGTGTTACCCTGCGGTGACGACGACGGTGACGACGACGACGAGGATGTTGTTGATGATGATGATGATGATGAGCATGATAACTATGATGAGGGCAAGGAGGAGGACACGAGAAGGAAGGCTATGAAGAGGAGCAGGAGGGAGAAGGTGGCGGAGCACCAGCATCAGGAGGAGAAGGAGGAGGGGTACACTAGACTCTGGTTAAGATGATGATGGCCATGCTGAGAGGTGCATGGTGACTATGATGATGGTGTTGACGAGCAGGTGCCAGAAGCTCCGGCAGCATCAGGAAAGAAGCGTCACACAGATGGCGACAGCCAATCGTCGTTCTAGCTAACTTGTTCCTGCACTTGGAGTTAGAAACTGCTGCAAGGGCAATGTCTACGGCTTCGTGCCGATGGGTGACACGAACCCTGACACAGAGGCAGGGGGAGTAGGGAAGGCTGGCAATGGAACTCGCTATCCTTTTAGTAACTTGCCTGGTTCCCAGGGCCATGAATAACAGTGGCTTGTGGCAGTGTCGACTGAGCATTGGCTGAGATGTTTGCTCGCCTAGCAGCCTTGGCGGCTTGAGCTGACTTCTTAGCTTCCCAAGCCCTTGACACCAGGGCTTCCGCTTCTGGAAGCAAGGCTACTGGAAAAGCCACCTGGGTGGCAAACCGCACGCCTTGCCTGCTTGATGGAGTGGGGGTTTTGGTACTATTCAAGAGGTTCTCGTCGTGGGAGGGCTCCAGTAGGCTAGGTGTCTCGTCTTTTCTGCTCATGCTGCTGATTCCGCAGCTGCTGCAGTTGTTTTCTTGCAGTCCTCGTTGTCCTTCTCTTCGGCTGATGTTTAGAAGTTGGGAGTTAGGAGAGGCAGGGTCAGTTTCCGACAATCTTCCGAGGTCGTGGTAATTCACACTACATGCTACTGCTACTGTATGCTAATCACACGAATAAGGATGACAGCCACGGCGATACCGGTAGTACCACGGATGCAAGCATGAACAACACACAAGCAATTCTGGCAGTACTACATGACATGAGCACCAGCACCACCATTGTTGCTACTGTCATTGTTATTGCTACTGCAATGACTACTGACGATGGTCATCACGAGTCATGACCATCATGGCCATAGCCATAGGAAGGTTACCCACCACCGAAAATAGGGGACCTATGATCGAGCCGAAGTACCAGGATTCTTGGCATAACGTCACCCTAATTCAAAGAAGCCAATATAAATCCAGTGCAAGACTCCTTCAAGCCCTTAAAACCTGTGAGCCAGATTTGCAGGTATCACATCTCAGCTCTCTTCGTCGTCGACTTGATGGAGGTGCATGAGGGGCTCGGAACAGGGAGGGAACAGGGAGGCTGAAGCTCTGGGAGTTTGCAGCTTAGGACTCCAGGTTTCTGCATGTTAAGGCAGGCGCCCACAGTGGAGACGCTGTTCCCCATCGAAGCCGAAGCCCTAAAGTCGCTAAAGCTCCAAGCTGCTACAGTTCCGCCGGACCTCCATTGGGGAGACGCTGCGGGGTGTCTACAACCAGGTCGGGAACCGACAGGGAGATGGGCGCAACATGAAGAAACAAGAAACCAGAATGTATAATATGCCAATAAAGCTATAGAACTATAATAATGTTATGCTAGAGTCAAACATTCTACTAGAATGTGCTAGGCAGAGGGATGCCACTGTAATATTTCCGAAGATCAGGGGTTTCTTTTCAAAAGGTTTAGGGCTTTAGGGTTGAGGGGGGTTTAGGATTTAGGATTTAGGGTTTAGGGTTTAGGGGTTTAGGGTTCAGGGGTTAGGGAGGAATCTGCACATCTACTGTGGGTTTTCTGTATCAAGGCAGCTATGCTTGGGAGCTCCCAAGACTCTTGAACCACGAGCCCTTCACCCCAAGAGCATGGACCGCAACTGCTGCAGCAAGCCCGAAACTTCCGAAGCCCGAAAAGCAAACCGCCCAGGACCCTGAACTCTGACACCAAGACCCGAAGCCCTGAGACCTCCGGCCGTTGGAAAACAGTCCGAACAATTGAGCGCTCTCGCTTTCCAAACTGATTTATCGGCCCTTTCTTCGCAGTTGAGCCGGGATCCCAACTCGCTGGCGAACTTGGACCAGGACACGACTCTTTTCAGGAGAGCTCTAAAACTGATCATAAGTCATAAGGTTGATAGTTGATACTGGCAATGACCATCTAATCCTTCTTGTGCCAGCCTCGAACTCGAAGAGTGAGCGCCTAATAACCCAGGACCCAACACGGGAGTCCAGGAGCACTCCTGCATGAGGCTCCCAAGACTACCCAGTTCAAAACGCAATCCACAGCATGGCCGGAGGACAGGGCACGTTCGGGAGGCAGCAGCGCACGGACCTGTGGCGTGTCTAGAGGCAGACACACGAGTTGCGCTCCAACATGTGCACGACACTGTGGTGGGGGTGTTCTTTCCGGAGGCACCAGACTGTGGTGGGATGACGATGCACACCCAAAAATGGCGCGCGATTGCCGCTCCGGAAAACTACAAAACCTACGATCAAAGTTGCAACGTGTTCCGGCGTTAGATTTCTAATAGCTGTTGATGATACATATTTAACGCGTATGGTGTATCAAGACTTCGCGTCAAGAATTGCTCCTGGTACTGCCCTGCCAGCGTGGAATTTAGAAGGACCTGCCCAACTTCGCCCAGCACCAGGTGCCGATCTTCACACTGCATGATGCTGAGACCCATTCAAGGTGTGGCAGGACCGAATGCTCCAGCAGTACTCACGGACGCAATGCGCTTTTCTTAAACCTTGTCGCGCCCTCCGTGAGACATGAAGTGCTGTCAAGACTTTGCGGCTCGCAAACACTGTCAGGCACATCGGTTCATAGCAAGTCATCAGTTGCCAGCACTGAGGCCCACCGAGTGGTTGTGGTGCGAGACGTGGTGCTCGCAGGTCAGCATAACTGCCATGGGTCGGAACATGCTCATCCGGGCACTATATCCAATGAATGCCAGGAGAGCAAGAAGAGTGCCAAGACAATTGACCTCTGCCAGAACCCGCTCACAAAGGACTGTCGAGAAGAAGTGAAACGCTGTGCCGGGATCGGGTATGATGGGGTTCTGCGGAGTTTTGGCTGCAATACAGGGCGGTCAGCACGACGCCAGGAGCCCAAGATCGTGATGGCGAAGCGTATCATTTCGGAGTGGCAAACGCCGCCTCCTCGACAACTGCTAAAATTAAACTTGCGCAACGTGGTATCCCCCAAAGTACGTAAGTCCTCATGTCTGTTTCCAGGTGCCGGTCACGAGCCTGTCCATAACAGATGTTGAGGATGGGGTTCTCTGTGCCAGAAGCCTGCTTAGGGTTCAAAAGGCCCTACTCAACAACTGCTTCGTTGTAGGGAGATGTTTCCATGCTTCCTTTCGACGGGAGTTCGGGGCGACTCGAGGTTCCACGACGAAGTGCAGCATCTTCAGGCTGGCATTTCCTTCTCAAACGCTGAGGGCAAAAACATAGGAATGTAAGGAGGATATAAGAGGTAATAGTGACAAACTACAACAATAACATTACAATGACAATAGTATAATATACTATATTATTATATTATAGTAATACCCTAAATCCTAAAGCTCCAATCCCCACAGCAGGCAGAGTTCGAGGCCACGCCGTCGCTACCTGCGGGAAAGGCCGGCAAGGCACGGCCCAACACTTCGGGTAACAATAGAAAGAAGAATCGTTCAAGCATGATACGAAGTAATAACAATAGCAACTGACAACAACAATTAGAATTTTCATCGTATTTCCAAGAATAGCAGCAACATAACAATAGTACGTACCTGTAGCAACAAAAAACGGCATTCTAAGAGTAGTAGTTAATGGTTCATATAAGTAAGGGTAGGAGCAGTACTCATCATGGTAGTACACACACACACACAAAGGGCCGCCTCCGCCCGAAACCACTCGGAAGGCTGAGCTCTGATCCACCTTCCGGAGCGGTGATGATCCTCGCGTGCCCTGTAAGCCTTAAGTCGGGGTTAGGGTTTAGGGGCTCTGAGTGCTTTCGGCTTGAGGTACTTCCATGACTTCCGCGCATTTCCTGGACTGCCTGTGACCGGCGGTGACGGATGCGCCTCGGGTGCCGACGCTGGGCCACTACAATCGCGGGCATGCTGTGCCATGTCAGGGCCGGCTCCAGCACAAGCCGTGGCTCCGCAGACTGGACGGCTCGTGGAAAACCAACAGCCGCTTCACGATGTGCTGCTATGCAAGGAAATCCCAGCAGGCGGACATCCTACGTGTGTACGCTGATCCGTTGCGCTTCTGGCGGCTCAACACACTAGTTGGTAGTTAGGCTGCTCCATGTCGAAAAGGCAGGTAAAGGCCATGGTTATCATGGCATGACTCTGCTACCATAGGACCTCTGACCTCTGGCCTCAGAAACAAGATAGTCCAAACATGACTGCAGGCCTTTACAGTCCTCTTCCGGATAACATGGACCGATTACTAAGAGCTCTTCGCATGGTATATAGCGTTTGTTAGGCACAGCTTGTGTCGGCACTACAGTCGATGCCATGGCGCCTTTGAGCAGAGGCACGTGACGCAGCCATGGCCATGCAAACAGGTGCGCGGCGGCAGTTAGTGTGAGCAAAACTTATCGCACGTTGTGCATTTTTCTTGCCTTCTAAGGGCACCTGCTGCCACCGCAGCTTGGGGCTCCGCCTGGTGCACGGCGTTTGGACTCCCCCCCGCGCGGTTCACCTCGCCGGGGTTCGCCTGGACATAGCCCGCCGGCCCGCATCGGTGAGCCTGAGTCCAGACTGAAGGCCAGAGTCGCAGCTTCGTGGGCCGAAGGTTCAAGAGGGGATTGGGATAGTGGCTAGTGTGGTTGGTGGTCTTGTTCTCGAAGATACTGACCAGGCAGATGTGTCGCTGCCGTCGCTGGCGAGGCGGATTGAGGCCCCGAAGAAGATGATCGATCCGCCAGCTGCGGTGGAGCTGAGACCCCCCACACGGGAGCTTGGCGTGGTGGGGACAGCAGACGTGCTGAGGCGCTTCCGCCGCGACCATGGACTTTTCGCGGAGCTGAGTTTAGCGGAGCTGGAGGATCTGGCCGAGTTGATTTCCCCTTTGGGGTTTCGACGAGGGGAGATCCTCTTCTTGCGGGGCGAGCCGGCTTCGTGGCTAGGTCTGCTGATGGCTGGGAGAGCCCAGGCCAGTCTTCCACAACTCACCGGCAGCGAGCTACGTTTGGGAAACCACCAGGCAGGCGAGATCGTCGGAAGTGCCCGGGTTGCTTTGTGGGAGAGGAGCCATGCAAGACCCTACACTCTGAGGGCCCTGGAGGATGGCTGTATTGCTGTCCTGAGCTTCGATCAACTGGAAGCTCTGCGACGGGCGCGGCCTGCCTTCCACCACTCGCTGCTCAGAGTCCTGCTGATGCAACTCGCTGACTCATCGGGCTCTTTCTTTCGCGGCTGCCCCGTCTCGAGCCGCTTGAAGTGGAACCTCGCAGCCTTCACGGAGCGCCGGGTCCTGGACTTTCTGGTAAGACTGAGAGATGAAGGAAAGCTTCTCCCTTGTGCAGACTATCATTCCTTGCTGGCCTTGGCTTGTCGGCTCCGCGTGGCTCAGTGGCAGCCACGTGTCAGCGTGCTGGCTCGTGGAGAGCCTTTAGAAGGAGCCCTGATCGTGTTAGACGGCAAGTTCACAGGCTTCCGGGAAGCTGGGAGCTCGCCCTCTGTGTGGTTCGATCCCGGAGATGTTGTAGGTCTTGAATATCTTCTTGGAGGCGTGCAGCCTTGCCCACTGGATGTCTTCGCTGCCCGGCCAACCTTGGCCGCTTTGCTCCTTCCCTCGGATTTAGAGGACCTTCGAAGAGAGTATCCCTCCTTGGCCACGGAGATTCTGCAAGGCTTCTACAGTAAGCTCTTCTCTGAACTTGCCGCACCCCATCCGGAGCCTCTGCTGCTAGTGGCAGAAGCCAGCGACAAAGTGAAGTTCCAGCCCAGCGAGTCTCCGATCTTCGCCACCACACCCCTGCGCTTTGCCGGTAACCTCTCGCCCGAAGATGTGCAGACGGCTTTGAAGCTGGCAGAAACCACGGCTTCGACACCGCCGGGGTCTCGGTGAGGAGTGTAGCTTTGTTCGCTTTCTTCATGATCTATTTCTGCACCATGGGCTGCAGGCGCGGAGTCCATCCTTCAGCCCGCGCCACCTCGGGTTTCTCAGACGTCATGGAGGGAGCTGCGTTGCGGGACGATGTGGCCATCAGGCAGGACTTGGAGATCTCGGCCCTCTTCGAGGGGGATGGTTTTTGTCTTGGCCCCCGCACCAACGAATCGAATGTAGTTCACACTGCGGTTACATTCGGTTACATGCGGCATCCAAGGCACCCCTGCTTAACTATGAGTACGTATGTTCAGTAGATATTCGCATCATTCTGAATCGCATTTTCAGTTTTACCATGCTTGCGTCATATTGCCCTCATGACCATTACCATACCATCACTACTGTGTCTACAACAGCTGCCATATGAGAAGTTCTCTCAATTAGGGTCCCTTTTAGGATATTGGGGACCTAGAATTGGACCCTATTATAGAACACTACTCATGTTACTTCATTCAGCACGTGGTCCTGATGCAGGCGCTACCTCTCGGACCCGCACGGCTTGACAGCATCATGGGCAGAGCAGGACGCGAACAGTGTGGATCCCTCCAAAGCCGCAAAGCCTTAATGCGGCAGTCGTTCGCCGACGCCGCCACCACCACCACCACCACCACCACCACCACCACACCCACCACCACCCACCACCACCCACCACCACCCACCACCACCCACCACCACCCACCACCACCACCCACCACCACCCACCACTACCCACCACCACCCACCACCACCCACCACCCACCACCACCCAACCACCCACCCGTCCACCCACCCATCCACCCATCCACCCGTCCACCCATCCACCCATCCACCCACCACCACCATCACCACCACCACGACCACCACCACCACCAGGACCACTACCACACCACTACCACTACTTCTCCTTCTCCTGCTGCTACTGCTGCTGCTTCCACTGCTGCTACGACCCCGATGATTATTTTTGGTCGTATCGGGGCTAAGGGTGCTACATGTTCGGATTGAGGCGACGATTGTTATTGCAATCGTGACCCCAGGGGTGTATTCAGATGTTAGCTGATAAGTTACTCTTGCGACGATCATTGTTGTCATCATGGTCTCCACAAGTCCATTGCCTGCAACCAGTATGTAGCGGTAGCTTACCCTTATTCCGGGAATCAACTCCCAGGGCGTGTACGTATTTTACGAGTCCGAGCCGCTAACTTTTTTTGGGGCAGATGTTGTCAGGAGCCCACGAAAGCTCAGTGGCTACTGGGCTCCTTCCTGACTCAAAAGCTCATGGTGCTCTTCGGCCTGTCTTTCCTTTCACCACTCCAAGGGTCCCAAGCCTAAAGCCTGAAATCTTGAACACTACACTGCACTAGACAGTCACCAGACATGGTCAAAGCCTGCAGAATTGTTCACATTAAGTCGCATGGCCCAGGTTGCTTGAGGTTCGGTAGCCTGGCCCCAAACGCTGCACCCTGAAGGGAGCCCTGGACACTCAACTGCAAAGGGAGCCCGAAGCCCTGAAACCTGCAGGGCACTGGAACTGACCATTCTCGCCCCTCAGGATTGACCATTTTCGAAACTTGGGCAGGTCACTTTCGGAACTCTTGTATGGCGATTTTCGGAACTCCGACTGACACTTCGACGATGGTTCAACAGTAGGTTTGTTGATCTGCGGATCTAAGGATGAACCATTTCGGAACTCGGCTTTAGGGTTGGTAGTCTGAATTCCAAGTTCAATCGGGCTGTTATAAAAGCCTGTGCTAACCCAACGCACTGCTGCGACTAGACCTTTAGACTTTAGCCCGGAACCCTAAACTTTAGACCCTTAGCTCTAAGCCCTAAACCCTCTTAACCCAAAACCCTAAACCCTGAACCCTAGACTCTTAGACCCTTAAGTCCAAACCCTAAACCTTAGACTCCTAGGCCCTTGGAGAGACATCCTCGGCCAGGAGAGCCATGGGGGCCCCGAGGGAAGAGCCAAGGCTCGGGAGGCCGATCCTTGGGTTTTAAGGGGTTTCAAGGGGTTTTAGGGTCTTTAGGTTTTAGGGGTTTAGGGGGTTTAGGGGGTTTAGGGGATTTAGGGTTTACGGGGTTTTTTGGGGGGTTTAGGGTTTAAGAGGTTTAGGGGTTTAAGAGGTTTAAGGGGGTTTAGGAGGTTTAGTGGTTTAGGGTTTAAGGGGGTTTAGGAGTTTAG